GCAGAGGCCGGGCCCTGCCAGCAGGAGGCGCTGCCCTGGCCGGAGCAAAGGGGCCGAAGCTCTGAGCCAGACCCCTACCAAGCCCAAGACGAATCTCTCTCAATCTCTCTCTCTCTCTCTCTCTCTCTCTCTCTCTCTCTCTCTCTCTCCAGGGACCGCGGTCCCATCTCCAGATCCCTAGCATGGGATTCCCACCCCAAGTATCCTTTTAGATACTGGGCCTCTCTGGAGCCCTAAACCGCTCCTACCTCCATCCTGGTCTCCTGGGGCGAGTCCGCTGAGCCCAGCAGCAACCCGCAGGGCCTGGGCAGCAAGGAGTACAGAGTCTCGGACCGATCCTCGGGTCAGTACCCCTCCCGCCCCCTTCAGCGGGCACGTCAAAGAGGACAAGCCCAAGTTCTGGCGGGGGAAGGGGGGAGCAGGGGTGTAGCCCCAGCCAGCTCTCTCCCTGCACCCTCGGAGCGGATCTGCCTCTCATTGGTCCCTCCTCACCCCCAACACCCCCGCTGGACTCTTCTCCACACCAAAGACGGCGGCTTGGGGACCGGGAGGATGCAGCCGACCCCCTTGTGGAGACACAGACATACCTTGAAGCTGAATGACGGGGGTCCCCCACTCCCCCTCCGCACCAACTAGAACTCTTCCCGGTTGAGGGCGCTCCCCTGTCCTCCTTGAGTTTCTTTTCTAACTCCCTTACCCTGGGGGTGCCCAGAACCCCTCCCCTCAATCTTCCCATCCCCGGGGAATCTTGGGAGACTTCTCTCCCTCTCTGTCTAACTGACCCTCCGCTTGCCCTCATTCCAGAGGGAGTTACATTGGGAGAGAATTCTCTCCACTCCCGGCTCCTCCTCAGGCTGGACTTGACCTGGAAAGTGCTTTGGGAGGGTACTCCCCGCCCCCTCGCTGTGGTCTAGTCCAGTAGGTCCAGGATTCCCTTACCACCCACCTACCTACCAGTTACTTAGCTTCAACTCTTCAGAAGAGATAAAGAGGTTCTGTGTGTGTCTTAAAAATGTGCACAGAGGTTTTATGTTTTGTTTTGCTTTTTGGCTCTACTGGAGCAGAAGCTTGGCCTTTCATTTGACAAGACCTGGAGGGAGACACCCCCCCACCTACTCCATGCACCCCTGCTGACCACAGCTAATGGACTAGCTCCTCTGGGCCTTGGGGCAGCTTTCGTTTCCATAGGAGAAAGGGTGGGGTGGGGTGGGGTGGAGTGTGCTGGCCAAGGCAAGCAATTGTCTCTGGCTCTTCCCTCTCTCCTTCCTTCCCTCCACTCTCCCAGAACCTACAGCCTAGAACACTTCTCTCTCTCTCTCTCTCTCTCTCTCTCTCTCTCTCTCTCTCTCATCCTTACTTTAAAATAGAAATATTAATGGTTTCTCTCAGCCTATCAGAGGGACTCTGAGGTGTATAGGGGCAGCTTTGCAGCCTTCACTTTTTCTCATTTCCACTCCAGCTGCTGGACCATACAACACAGAGAGAAGATGGGAACCTCAGAGCTAGAGCTGGGAGCCCAGCCTCCAGGTCCCCAGACCTGTCCTCTCCCAGCCCCCTCCACGTGAGATGACTTGCAGGATTAACCCTCTTTGGGCCCCGTCTGGGACCCACACACTCTTCCTCCCCACTCCCTCCATTGGGCGCCCACCTCTGGCTCTGACCTCACAGTATCTGGCACCCTGCTAAGGGGGGCTTCTAGACTGGACACATTTCTGGGAGCCATGCCTTAGCTTGGCCCCTTTGGGTCCTCAGTGCCAGCATACAGTCCCCAGGGCTTCTTAGGTAGCCTCATCCCTTCTTCCTGGGGTCAGCTCACCCTATTCTCCAAACTCCCAGATCCCCAGGCTGTCAGGATCTCAGGATAATTGGCAGGGCCTCTGCTAGCCCCTTTGACTAGTCTTGATGCGGGGCCTCTGCACCAGGGGGCTGCCCTACTGATCTATTCCCATTTACCTCCTCAGGCAGACAGAACCTGCACTACGGTACTCAGTGGCCTTAGCATTTGAAAACTTGTGAACTACAAGGACAGAGAACAAAGATTACCATGTTCATTATTTTGTATCTATTCCACCAAAAAAGGTCTACACGTCACATCTGAGAAAGCTCAGAAGTAGCTTCCACAGGGCATCCCCATTGCCAACTCCAGATATTACTCTAGGGAAGTTCCTCCAACATCAAACCTCAGTCTCTCTTGCTGTAATCTCTGTCTTCTTTTTCTGGGTTCTGCCTCTAGGCCCATGGTGATATTTGATGCTTCCAGGCACTTTCAGGCTCCATCCCCTGACAAAGCATTTGCTATAAATACTGAAGAGTTTCTTGCTGACTGTGCCCAGTAAGATTGCACCTTCCTTCCCACACCAGGAGTCTCTGGAGGAACTGAGCTCTCAGCTATGGCTTCAAGACATGACTCTTGCCCGCTCGGGGCTAGGCAGTGTGACTGCTCTGTGGATTGGGGGCTCTCTGGTGCCTGGGGAGGAGGGAAGGTGAGAGGGCTGAGGTGCTTGGCTCTCATTCTCTTGCTTCCCAGGTTCTGGCTCAATGCTGGCACGTAGTAGGTGATTGATATGTTTATTTCAGTCTTAGATCTCAGTTTCCCCTCCAGGTCAATATGACGGGTGATTCCAGTTGCACAGAATGGATTGGAGTGAGGCTGTCTCAGGTGGAGGAAGGGGTGGTAGCAGCAGGATCCGTAGGATTCTGGGGAAGGAAGTCTGGACTAGACTTTACTGCCTTCTGTCCTTCATTCTTGTCAAACTCTTAACACTTTAGGACTCTGAATAACAGCAACGGGTCAGTTCCAATCCTTCCTCTACTTCCGCATGTTTATAAGCCAGGGAAATGGGGTTGAAATGACGGGGGTGGGGGTTAAGAAGGGGGTGAGGGTGAGGGTTTCTGAGATGTTTCTCTTAGATATAAGGGGTGCAGCTCTTTGGGGAAATCGTTCCCCTAGCAGGGGCAGCTGAAGCATCCCAGGGTTTTCAGAAGTCTGAGACAGAAGGGACTTGGTCATTCTTTAGGTGGGGGTTGAGGGGCTGCCAACAAGAGACTGCGGTTGGCCCCAGAAGGCTCCCATGACCCTGATGTACAGCTAGAGTGAGTGGGGTTGAGGGTCTGTGTTTCTGTTTGGGTCCTCTCTACCCGTCTGGCTCACTGTAGTTCCCGGTTCCTTTATCTGTGACCAAATCCCTGATCTCAGCCCAGATCAGAGCCCCGCTCTAACAAAGAGGAGAGAGAGAGAGGTGCTGGTGCTTTTGCTGGGAGGGTGCTGACTGGGTACCCTTCTACTTGCTCCCACTCGGCTTCTGGCCCATCCCTGACTCCCAACACTCTCAGTTTAAGGATCTGAGCGGTGGCAGCCTTCTCCAGCTCAGAATGAGGGCATGGTGCCTTCAACCTCCCTGGCAATAAATTATTGAAGAGAGCATAGTGCTGGCTGCTCAAGCTGCTGCCCCTTGGGCCCACCGTTGCCTTTTGCTCTGCTTCTCACTGCTCCTTCACCAGCTGCAAGGGGGATGAGGCCTAGGGGCCTGGGAGGGGTTGTTAAGGAGCAGCAGGACCTAGATAGGGAAGTTCAGGGCTTGGCTAGAAGGCTCCTAGGGAGGAGGGAAGAGGGCTGGTGAAAAGTCCTGGCTCCTTGTCATGGGTCAGGAAGACAGAGGGAGCTGGCAACCACCCTGGAGCCAAGTTGGGAAGTGAGACTGAAAGACCCTCGACCCTGCCCAGCTGGTGTGGCTCAGTGGTTGAGCTTCACCATGAACCAGGAGGTCATGATTCAATTTCCGGTCAGGGCACATGCCTAGATTTCAGGCTCAATCCCCAGTAGGGTGTATGCGGGAGGCAGCCGATCAATGATACTCTCTCATCATTGATGTTTCTATCTCTCCCTCTCCCTTCCTCTCTGAAATCAATAAAAAATATACTTAAAAAAAAAAAGACCCTTGACCCACATGATTCCCCAGTATTGGAAGTCTAGATTCCCAAAGGCCTTCAGGGTTACACAGAGCCAGGAGAAGTCCAGGGCCCTTTTGACCTGTAGTCATGTAGGCATGAGGACATTCAGGGATGCTGTGTGCAGAGGCCTCCATCCCTCCCCAGAATCAATGTCCTGCTGACAGTGGAGAACTACAGAGCTTCTGGGAGCAAGTACAGGCCAAGAAGGCACAGGTAAGTGTCAGGGATAGGCCGTCTGGCCAGGTGGGAAGGACTAAGGATTTGGAGTCTGAAAACCAAAAGGCAAGTCCTGCTTTTATCACTTCCGAGTTGTGGGGAAGTCACTTATCTCAGCAACTGAGTTTTCTTACCGTTAATGAAGGAAAAGGACAGTGCTTGCTTAACAGAGGATCTTTGGGAATTCCACAGGAACATCTGTGTTTCAGAAAATGGAATGGCTTAAACATTCAAAAGAAAAGGAATGGCTATGTTAAAATTAGTTGTTATCACAGGTGGTAACCTCATACACAGATAAGCAGCATGTGGTGGAGAGAATCTGCACAGAGTCATGACCCAGGTTGTAGCCCATGCCCTGTGACTAACCCTTAGTCCTTCCTCTTCTGAGGTTAAATGACTTTTCAAAGGCCATATTCAGTCCATGGTGGATCTGGATTCAGATCCAGATCCTTAGATTCTACCTCCTGGGTACTTTCCATTACACAATATAGGCCAGAGACGCTGGTCCACACTGTCCTTCCACATGTTCAACACTGGGGACTTCCGCTAAGTCCCCACACCCGGATGCCAAAGTGATTAGTACTTCATTCCTTCCTATTATTCGTGGCCACACCCCATCTCCTTCAGGAATAATGCAGCAAGTACATTTCTTGACTATCCCCCGAGGCAGCAGGAATAATATTATCAAGTATTTGGAACGCAGTTTAAAAAATAACCTTTTATTACAGAAGCCATATTTATGGACTGTAGAAAATTTAAAAATACGAGGTCCTGGCTGGGTAGCTCAGTTGGTTAGAGTGTCATCTTGATACATCAAGGTTGCGGTTTTGATCCCTGGTCAGGGCATGTACAAGAATCAACCAATTGATGTTTCTCTCTTTCTCTCCCTCTCTCTCAAATCAATAAAAGCATATCCTTGAGTAAGAATAAATAAATAAAATAAAAAATGACAACAACCAATGCAATAATAGCCATTTGGTGTGAATGCCCTGTGTTGAACCATAAATATATAGGTTATATAATAGAGTTGCATCTTATTGGTCACGTCTCATAATGGGGTTGTGTCTCATTAATTCTTGGTAACAGAACTCCTTATATACAAGTACTAGTGGCCGGTGCATGGATTCATGCACATTGAAAGGAAATTAATTAGAAAAAATATTTTAATATTGCTATTCGCCCTTTCTCTATAATA